ATTTGACGGTACATGGCCCCATCCATCGTCCCTTTGATGCGGTGAAGTTATCCTGTCCCCTTAGCAGAAAAACACCCCCAAAGCATAATGTTTCCACCTCCATGTTTGACGGTGGGGATGGTGTTCTTGGGGTCATAGGCAGCATTCCTCCTCCTCCAAACACGGCGAGTTGAGTTGATGCCAAAGAGTTCCATTTTGGTCTCATCTGACCACAACACTTTCACCCAGTTCTCCTCTGAATCATTCAGATGTTCATTGGCAAACTTCAGACGGGCCTGTATATGTGCTTTCTTGAGCAGGGGGACCTTGCGGGCGCTGCAGGATTTCAGTCCTTCACGGCATAGTGTGTTACCAATTGTTTTCTTGGTGACTATGGTCCCAGCTGCCTTGAGATCATTGACAAGATCCTCCCGTGTAGTTCTGGGCTGATTCCTCACCGTTCTCATGATCATTGCAACTCCACGAGGTGAGATCTTGTATGGAGCCCCAGGCCGAGGGAGATTGACAGTTCTTTTGTGTTTCTTCCATTTGCGAATAATCGTACCTGTTGTCACCTTCTCACCAAGCTGCTTGGCGATGGTCTTGTAGCCCATTCCAGCCTTGTGTAGGTCTACAATCTTGTCCCTGACATCCTTGGAGAGCTCTTTGGTCTTGGCCATGGTGGAGAGTTTGGAATCTGATTGATTGATTGCTTCTGTGGACAGATGTCTTTTATACAGGTAACAAGCTGAGATTAGGAGCACTCCCTTTAAGAGTGTGCTCCTAATCTCAGCTCGTTACCTGTATAAAAGACACCTGGGAGCCAGAAATCTTTCTGATTGAGAGGGGGTCAAATACTTATTTCCCTCATTAAAATACAAATCAATTTATAAAAATTTTTACATGCGTTTTTCTGGATTTTGTTGTTGTTATTCTGTCTCTCACTGTTCAAATAAACTTACCATTAAAATTATAGACTGATCATGTCTTTGTCAGTGGGCAAACGTACAAAATCAGCAGGGGATCAAATACTTTTTTCCCTCACTGTAGAAATACTGAAGTGTCAGTCAGTCAGTCCAACCCAACTCAGTATTATGTTGACTGTATGAGGTATAGCTGGTATGCCAGAGGATGGTCTTATAGACCAGGGTACACATCTTTGGTTTTGATTGGGATGGGAGGTTCCAGTGCTGGTTCAGGATAGGCCTCACTCACAGAAATGGTAATAACCTTTCATAGGCAAGTCATACAGTGTTGACTACCCTCAGCTACAGTTCCCTCCCCTTGCTCTTTGACCCCCTACGTAAAGCTTAGATCTCCCTTTCCCTTCCTCCTCATCCACCTCTCCATCAATCCTTTCTTCCCTGTTAGTTTTTTCGAGTTTCTACTTCTTTCTACGAATTCTGTGATATTCTTTGCATATTTAAACTTGGCTCATTCGTGTTCTCTTGTGTTTTTACTCTTGTTAACTTACTGCGACTATGATTATTATTGTTGTCGACGTTGCTGTTGTCTTTGCTGTTGCTATTGAAAAAAATAGCTTCTACCAAATGAGAGATTGAGAAAACGATCAAATCATACGTTTTGGTGCACGAATGCACCTCTTATATCAGACATCTTATAGTCGGAACATAAAGCAAAGCAAAGAGGTCGAGATAACTTCGGAAATAGATATAATGCAACAACAAAAAAGTATTGCTTACATTCTAGATTTGGGGCTTGCAAATAACCTATATAATATATTACATATGTAACCCTAAATGCGTTAAGACAAAATGAAACTGTACTGTCTTAATACCAGTTAAAGTACATCCATTCATTATTCTCTGGAAACTCAGAGGCTGTTAGTAGAATGAAGTCAATTTTATATACTGTATCCACAAACAGCCTTAAACATAACATAGCTGAAATAAGTGTAAAGAAGTTAAGTCTGAATTAAGTCTGAATTAATCGGGAGAAATAGACCACTTTTAGTTAGTTCCCTGGACTTATTTCAAATAATTAAAGTAGAAAAAGTTAATGTATTTCCTTAAAACCCTGGATACTCCACACTGGTGTTCCAAGTGAAGAGTCTAAACTACATTTCACTGATTACGTTTCGTAGGAAGTGTTTTGCAACCCCTTAACTAAAATGGACACTGTCAAATCAGGCACTTCTCTCTCTTTTCTTGTTCTTTTTTCAGATTTTGTGTTTTGTTTTTAATTCCTCGATATTTTTTGTCACTGTGTACGTTGTGGTGGTGCCGATCAATGAAACAATGATTGGTAGTTAAACATGTCAATAATAATAATGCATCTCTTTTTATTTTGGGTTTTGTTTGTAATAAAATCAAATGAAATTTAACAAAATGATGTGATTCGTGGATGGATGCTTGAATAGCAACACACACAGGAAAACGCGCACATCATTGACATCATCAATTTGATCAATACAGTACGTCTGCCATCGTCAGTATTAGTGGGCAGTACTATAGGATAGTGGATATGACATGGCGCAGATCAGCAGAGACTGAATCGCCTCCTCTAGCCCCCACATGAGGTCATCCCAGTCTGTCTGCACTGTGTTGTACTGACTCCAGACCTTGAGGAGCTACAGAAGTATGAATCACAGGTGGTGACGACTCAATACACAGTAGTGTGTGAGTCATGATTAAAGAACCAGAATAGTGCAGCGTTCCACGCATTCTATTTAGCAATACAGTGATGTCATTAGGGGAAGCTGGAGAATAATGGAGAGGTTAAATGATGATAAGATTTTCTATTTGTTTTGCGTCATACTGTATCATAGAGCAGTAGTCGAAAGCGAACACAAGGAGATATTAAAAGGGTTTAAAATGGTTTAGAATTTTATGGGAAGTGAGTTTAGAACAACAACCAGCATTGCACACATCATTTCGCAAACATGTGCACACACAATATCCCCTCACTGGTTCTTCAATCTTGCCCTACTTGTTTGACTTCTCACAGACAGGCCTCTTTGTGCCAAATAAGGCTTTTAAAGGTGGCAATAAACTTTGACATAGAATTGGAGTGACGTGTCAGGAATGTTATTCCTCAAAAGTGTTCAGCTATTTGGTTCTGGTTCGGATTCAGGAAGTGAGTGTTGGAGAGCTGTGTGTGTGTGTGTGTGTGTGTGTGTGTGTGTGTGTGGGGTGGGGTGGGGGTGGGGGGGGGGGGTTCTGAAAGGGAAATGTTAGATGCAAAAGGGGGTAAATGTGAGGTCCAAAAGGGAAGCAGAGAAGGATTAGGAAATCAAACAGCAAATATATCTACAACACAATACTTCACTTTGCACTTGTGATATAATGATGAGAAACTACAGCTCTTTTGAGCTGGAAACCAGAAGTACGTTACTTTTGGGAAATTACATTTACATTTTAGTCATTTAGCAGACGCTCTTATCCAGAGCGACTTACAGTTAGTGAGTGCATACATTTTCATACTGGCCCCCTGTGGGAATCGAACCCACAACCCTGGCGTTGCAAACACCATGCTCTACCAACTGAGCTACACTGGGAAATGAGTTTAGAACAACAACCAGCATTGCAGACATAATTTTCGCAAACACGTGCACACACAATATCCCCTCACTGGTTCTTCAACCTCGCCCTACTTGTTTGACACACAGACCTCTTTTTACAAATGAAGGCTTTTAAAGGTGGCACGTTCCACTTGGGATCTAATGATGAGAAATTAGGACTATTTTGAGCTGGAAACCAGAATTATGTGACTTTTGCATTGTGGTGCATTTGTGTGTGTATTTGTGTGTGTGTGTATGTGCATGTGCTTGTGCGTGTGTAATTGTGCATGCATGTGTGTAAATTCCTGAGGAGAAGCCAATGTGGTCCCCCACACACTACTTATAAACCAGAGTAGAAGTGTTAAACCATTAAACCAAGCCACCTGCTAGAAATACTCTGTACTGTCTGTGTTCAAAACATATTGCTGCAAATGGCACGTAAGAGAGCTTGGAATGAGTACAAGTATTGTGATTACAATATACAAAATCATTTCTATTTCCACCATGACATACTGTATCTCGACAGGCTAAGCCTTCTTTACACATCTACGCTGGGATTCAATCCAATGCGTCTCATAGCACAGTGCACTGTAATGGACTTTTGAAGGTAATTTGCGGTTGAGCCAACATGTGCAGCGTTTACCATGGATGTGATCTTCATGAACTTTGGGGAAAATGCCTTTAAAAGACTCATTGTCGGCTGTTTAGTGCGGTGCTCTATAACGCGTCTTGGAATGAATCCCGGCCCTAGTGCTTCGATGTACAGTCTGAAACGGACAATCATGTAACATATTGCAATGTGATTCGACAGAACATATTGAATATTTGCATCTGAAAATTATATATGATAGGCCTATAATGTTAAGAGATTGAGTTTAAAAGATTGAGATGCATAGTCTTAAAGAGTCTCTAAACTGAGAGATGTTGGTAAGATCATAGGATAGTTAATGTTTTTTATACGTTCCTGTGTGTGAAAGACATGTACTGAGAAAAACTGTCAAATTCATTCAAGGCTTCAACCCAGCTGCTGAGATAACATGCGCAAGGATTACAATGGATGAGAGACTCATAGTTCAGCGTATCCATCCAGCTCATTACCCAGAATCCTTCTCATGCAGTAGTCCACCAGCTTAACCCCTCAGATAGGTGAATCATGGGTCAGTTCCCTGCTATGCTCAGGCCAAGTCACGAGTCAGGAGGATGAGTTTCACTCCAGAAGAGCGCCATTAACTGATCCAGACAACATTCCATGAGAGTTTTCCTTAAAGAAGCAGGGGTAGAAACTAGGAGAGTCTAGAAGTGCATAAGTATCCCTTTATAGTCTTCCTTACAGTTTCTGTCTTTGAAGAGGTATCATACAGAACAGAGGAGGCTAGTGGGAGGAGCTATAGGTGGACGGGCTCATTGTAATGGCTGGAATGGAATAAATGGATCAGTATCAAACATATGGAAACCACTTACCCATTTATTCCATTCCAGCCATTACAATGAGCCAGTCCTCCTATAGCTCCTCCCACCAGCCTCATCTGATACAGAGTGTCTGTAGCTAACATAATCCATAGTTATTCCAATGCTCCAGCTCGTTGGTCCAGATTTCACAATAAAACAAATGCGGAATGTCACGTTGGCGTGTCTCATTAATACAGGTCGGAGTAGGACAAAACGCTTCCTTCAACCAAGTTCCACCCCCTCCATCCTTCCAATATTTCCATCCTCTCCGGCAGCTCAGTTGACCTTGAAGAGGCTGAAGTAGTGCTTCCCCGTGATGTGGAGGCTGAAGCCGGCGCCTGTGATGGCCTGTAGCTCCGCCCCCTTCTCTAGCCGCAGCAGGCCAGACACCTGGCAGGGTTTGAGAAAGTGGAACTGGTGGGATCCGGCTGCAGGCGTAGTCCCGTAGCCCTCCATGCACTGCAGCTTCTGTAGCGGCTGGCCCCTCTTCACAACCACCACGTCCAACTTCACCAGCTGAGACTGATTCTCATTGAACAACACCTGTGAGAGGGATGGAGGGAGAGAGAGAGATGGAAAAGAAGAAGAAGAAGAAGAAGAAGAAGAAGAAGAAAAAGAAGAAGAAGAAGAAGAAGAAGAACAGACCAATGGGGGTCAATCAGGGTTTGATTGAGCCTGTGTTGTTTGACAGGGGTAGTTTTATAGTTTGGGATGACAGGTGGCACAGGACTACAACTCCCAGAGGCTCACCTGACAGTACAGGAAGTAGACTCCAGCTCTCTCCACTGTGAAGGTGCCTCTGTCTGTGTTGTACTTCACCGCCTTGCTCATATTCAACTGCTCTGAGTCCGTCCATCCCTTTATCAAGCCGTCCTCTCCCACTGAAACACACACACATGTTGAGGGGGAGGAACCATTGCACTCATTGACATAAATATTGCAGCATATTTTTTCTCTTTCTTTATACTGTAGGTTTGTGTGTGTAGGGTCGATTTTGTACAGTTTGTATCATTGTCATGGGGGACAGTGATCTTACGAAACCAATTCCAGAAACCCAGAAGACCCTTTTCCATAATAATTGTCATCATCCACGTTCATAAAGCTTACCTTTCTGAACAGACTCTTTGGTTACTAGTGGAAAGAGAGAGAGGGAAAAGGGTCATTAAGATTTTATAACTGTAATCGTATAGGGTGTCCGATTGATACCACTTGAACAGATGCTACATTATAACACTTTGTGTACGTCCGAAATGGCACCCTAAACCATTATAGTGCACTACTTCTGACCAGGGTCCATAGGGAAAAGGGTGCTATTTCGGACACAACCTTTGATGAGGATCTGCCAAGTCACTTACTCTCAAACTGAGAAGCCACTTTCTTTCCATTTCCATTCTTCCCTTTCCCAGTTCCCCCTTGCAGAGGGAAGAAGCAAGAAATAATATGAATTAATACGACAGACAAAAACTATTCAGAGGTATGTAGGGGAGATAATATAATTGGTCACAGCTGTGGTGTGTGTTGTGGCGACCATAATGTATTCATTTGCAGTCATTTATCCACCACCGGAATACTCAACCGGCTCTAACAGATGTAGAAGGATTTCCTTTCTCCGTTCCTCCTGCTCTGTTCTGATATCTGTCCTTTTTTACTTATTGTTCTCAGTAAGTGTAGCCTACTTTTCTCTGTCTGTTCTCACTGCTTTCTGTGCCAGCTGGAGTAGAGTACGAGAGAAGAGGGTAAGAAAGGGAGAGAGAGCGAAAGATTGATGGAGGGAGAGAGAGAAAGAGAGATCGATGGAGGGAGAGAGAGGCACACAGAGGGGGACGATAGAGAGGGACACAGAAGGAGAGAGAGAGAACGTAAGAGAGAGAGACAGAAGACAGCTGAGGGAGACAGAGAGAGGGGGGAAAGATAGAGCAAAAAAGAGATGGAGAGAGGTCTTTGGCTGTTCTATGACCCAAATGAACTGAAAAGGTCCTGTCAGGAAAAACAGGCAAGAGCAACAGCCATGGCCACCGTTCAAATAAATACAATAAATAAAATATATATTGAAAACTGGGGGAGAGGGGGGAGAGAGGGGGCAAGAGGAAGAGAGAGGGGTAAGACAGGCCTTGTTGTTCTCCAGAGGTTTGTTTTAGCTTCAGTATCAGGCCTGCAGGGAGTGATTCTAGGCCTTAAGCCCATTTCAGATACATAAGACGAGACGCAACGTGATGGTCTTATGGAGTTTTAGATCTAAGTTTGTTTGATCTGAACGGTCTAGTTTTAGGACGTCTCATATCATCGGCTGGAGTTTCCAAGATTCAACATGTCAAATCTTTAGCTAAAGTCTTGCGAAGGGACGGATCCATTTAGCCAATCAGAGAAAAGTGCGCTAACGTTCTGTGTTCAGCCAAGCAGCTAGCTAGCTCACCAAGCAGAGAGCTACCTAGCTATTTTGCTGCACATAGCTAGCCTAGCTTGCTGATATTTATCTGACAAGTAACAAAGTGTACCATGTTTTTGGTGCATGTATTTCATGACACTTGTTTGCTACAACACCTTGCTACAACAAGTTGCCAATTTGTTTCATCGTTTTATCAAGTCATTGTAAAGAGGCACTGTTACCGTGGAAACGCTCTCAACTGCATGTCTCATCTTCTTGATCTGAATGACCTGTCTTTCAGTCAGCTGTGGTACAACACAACAAAACTAGCTAGATTTATCTCTTCTCATGTCGGCTGTTGTATCTGAACTGAAATTTACACACACACACACACACACACACACACACACACACACACACACACACACACACACACACACTCACTCACTCACTCACTCACACAAACACACAGAAGGTATTCACTATAGGATCAGTTATGTTGGGGGGGGGGGGGGGGGGAACAGCAAACATTGAACACTGGGGTGCCACTTAACTAGCGAACATTGTGCCCCTGCTGAAATGACTATTATGACTACTTATTACTATGACTACTAGACTATTTCTATTGGTGAGCCTCAAGTGATAGCTTTTTTGGTATGCTGTCAATCAAAAACTAAGTTCACATATAACTGTAATGTTGGGAATTTAAGCCATTCATCATTTGGCCCATTTGGGGATACTATTTGATATATCTTGCTTCTGAACTGAACATCAACTCCAGTCTCCTTTTCACCGAATTCAACACGATTTACTTAACAAAAGGCACATCTCAATAAGTGGTCCAGGTAAGTCATTGTCTCCCGAGTGGCGCAGTGGTCTAAGGCACTGCATCGCAGTGCTAGCTGTGCCACTAGAGATCCTGGTTCGAATCCAGGCTCTGTCGTAGCCGGCCGTGACCGGGAGACCAATGGGGCGGCGCACAATTGGCCCAGCGTCGTCTAGGGTAGGGGAGGAAATGGCCGGCAGGGATGTAGCTCAGTTGATAGAGCATGGCGTTTGCAACGCCAGGGTTGTGGGTTCGATTCCCACGGTGTATTAAAAATAAATAATGTAAGTCGCTCTGGATAAGAGCGTCAGCTAAATGACAAAAAAATAAAAAATGACATAGCACAAGTGTGGGGGGATTTCCTCTTTTGTTCTGTATTGCTCCTCTATTGTTCCTCAAGCAAGGGGGAGGCCGATGACATCACAATAATAATATCACAACTTCCCTACTACTCCTTGAAGTTTGCAGTTTTGTCTAAAAAAACACTATTTTGCTCAAAACATATTTTTTTACCCTTTAGTGTGTGTACTTGTACTGTATTCACTATCTTATACTGTAGTTATACTCAACAAGAAAAGTTCCTAAATCACTGGAGGACGTCTTTATGTCTTGAGTATTACTCCTAACGAATTCAGCCCAATGTTACTATCAGCCATCCTCAGCATTATTTCACAACACACACTATTCAGAGATGACATGTGCACTACCTAGCAGATATATAATCCACTGCTTAATCATCAAAAAATTGCCAATCCACTCAATCTTTCTCAACAAATCATAGCTGTTGTCAGTCTCGTCAGGGGCTAAATCGCTTTAGGTCCCTGAAGCGTGCGACATTCTCTTCCTCCTCTTGCCAGATGGTTTCTCCGGGTTCTCGTCAGTCCAGAGCAGACCTGTAATTTCTGCATCAGCCATCCAGCTGCCTACTGTTTCCTGTGTCGACTTTTAGCAGCGGGCAGCAAGTGACCACAGGGTCTAACCAAGGTGCCATGCAGAGCCAAGATTCCCCTGGTCTGGCCGCTGTAGTTAAATGCTGCTCTGGCTACGCAAAAACACAGAGCAGAGCACCATCAATGAGATCTATCTTATCTGTTTGGTTATTGTTGATTATGTATTGCATGTATGATGATGGGGATGCAGTGAAAGAGGCATTGTCTGTAGTAGAGTGTAATTGAGGTGTAGTGCTATTTGGATCCTTTGTTTGCCTGCATGCACACAGACATAGTCTCAAACAGTCTCTCACACACACCTCAGCATGCAGGCACGCCAGCACACACGCACACACACAGGCATGTACCATCTCTTTTCACCCTTTGCCCCACCAGCAACTCTCTCTTCTCCATGATGAGTTGGACAATGGCCTTGCGCTGAGTATTCACCTGTTGCACAGAGGGAGACAGAGAGAGAGAGAGAGAGAGAGAGAGAGAGAGAGAGAGAGAGAGAGAGAGAGAGAGAGAGAGAGAGAGAGAATGGAACCGTCAGAGAGACCATTGAGTCTTCAAATTGGCTCCCGCTGCAAATTTACACAGACAAAAGATTTCAGCGAAACCACATAAACAAACAGTCTTCCAGTATCTGGCAGTATCCCGCTGCAACTCCAAGGCTTAGAATAGGTCAACCACTTCCTCCTAAACCGGTTGTGACAACTAATGCGTGTTTTTAATGCCCCGCATTCCTCGCATTTCTTAACTCCCCTGCTGAGACTGAGAAGCAGGAAGAAAAAAAACACTGTGCTAAAATGTGTCAAGCCAGCAAAGTTAACTCGTACTTTATGAAGTACTGGGGCCTACCATATATATGCCAAAGAGGAGGAGGTAGGTTTCAATATACAGCTACTGTGTCTGTGTGTAGCCTATGGAGTGGTTTTGATATACTCAGGAAGTCTGCCTGGACTCAAGGTTAAATTCACTGGGGAATTGAACTGTTCCAGGCCGGCTCATTGAGTGCTTGCAAAAAGGATCAACAGATGGGCAGAGTCAGGTCACTGGTAGCCTACTGTCAGACGTACCATGAGTGAGATTGAGTGCATGAGTATTAAGTGCATGAGTAGGCTATTTGAGGATGCACATGCATAATATATTCTTCATAAGGATGAGTTTTGAATGAATTAAAAGATCAGCCACTCATGTTAAAAGTCCAGTGCATGGTGCATTGTTACGATGTCATACAGTATGCATTACAATTATGTATATAAATAATTGGTGCATTAAAGTGTAATACGCATTTGAAAGCCTTACTTCGGCCTGCAGAATTATTCCACCTGTGGTAGCCTAGCCTACCTGCAATTAGTAGGCTTTACATGTTGCAAATCGCTTAACCACAATTAGGTCTACTCTGTTTTACGCAGCTCAGTGCTTCAGTTCAGTGCAAAGTCAGTTGGCTATAATGCGCGCTCGAGCCAAGAATTCAACGGATTCCAGTAAATTGGGCTAAAATTGGAACACAACTGGCAGTAGAACGATTAAACTTGGCAGAGGAACTATAAGCAATAACTCCACGGCTTGAGCGCACTTATTTGTAAGCAATAAAACTGCCTCTAGAGCAGTCCGCAGAATGCGCAGGACACCAGCAGAGAAGCGGCCTGCTATTTGGGTACAATTTAACGCCACAAGGATTGGGGGTAAAGGAGGGGGGAATTAATGTGGCTTTGCATTTCCCGTGCCCCCCAAGAGGGTTCCCGTAACCATCGGTCAGCAGAGACAAATAAGTTGTGTAACAGTCACTTCAACAGCTTAAAATTGTTATTATGGAAAAAATAACCGATGATAGTGTGGAACACATGCAATGCAAAGTGACTTCGTAAAATTTTATATATATTTAAAAAAAAAATTAATAATAATTACATAGCATGGCTACTTACTTGCTCCAATCGGTCTTGCAGAGTTTTAACGGACTGGGACAGGTCCAGCGTCTGTCTCCAGGTCCACGCCGTAAATAGTGCGCTGCAGGCGGCGAGCGACAGAGCCACCATCGCCATGAATGCCCAGACGAAGCGAAGTTTGCGCACTTTTCTCCTCTGCAGAATTCGATGCATGGTCGTTCCACATTCCCCGGTTACCATCGCAGACTATTCGAAGTGTTCATGTTAACTTCATTCCACCGACACATTTTTCCCTTCTTGGTGAAATCAAATCCAAATGCTCACATTTTCGGCAAGGCGTGCAAGTGTTATTGCCCGCAGTAACAAATGAGATTTCAACAGCCCTATTGATAAATGGAAAGTCATGTGAAAGATGAAATCATTCCATTGGTTTCAAATCAGCAATTAAATAGCCATTAATGTTGCTTTAATCAATGCATTTAATCAGACGAAATATCGTGGACTGTCTGGCTTGCAGGTCGTATACAAATGCGCAATGTTGAGAAATATGCAGCCAGGGTGCAAAGAAAGATGTAGTTTACATCCACTAGGACTGGATCCTTCTACCACTTGATTCGTTGAGTCAACTTCCTTGTCTTCCCCTTGCAGTTGCAGCCTTCCTGGGGGTCAAATTTGGCATAGACCACGTATGATCCTGCACACTTTTGCATGAGCTTTTCTTCTCCAGGAAAGAGTTTTCAGTGCAGTGTGCCAGACGCACGCACGAATGCAAAGCCTCAGCCCACAACTTGGATGCACTCTCAAAAGCCACTAAGTAACTATTAAAGCATTAGTCACACTATATTTGCTTCATTGCACAAATCAAAATGCCGAGCTGAATCAACTTCTTGCAGGGAGGGAAGAACTGTAGGCTATTAGAATCTACCGATGGACTGAACTAATCCAAGTGTCCACAAGGTGGCTCTGTTGTATAGGGCAAGGTGCTACCCGCAGTCACTGCATGACCTGGGGTGTAGTCATTAGTCCAAACCGTTGCAAACAGTTGCGTGTTGCAACGAAAACAATCGTTTCTATTGGACTAATTCAGGTATGTCACTCCCCGTTTCGTTCCGTTTGATTCTGTTTCGTTTCTAGTGGTTATACCCTTGGATCGCATGCTCACAGCCTCCTGAGTGTTCGTGTTTATCATGGCCAAAAATAGATTGTCTATCAATGGAAATATATAGGTATAGAGTGCAAGTATCATATACCACAGGGTCTAATGTGAGCAGCCCATTCTACCATTATATAGGTGTACATATTTGTGGCAAAATATAGCCTATTCTACAGAATAACTCTATGTCATTATGTATTTGATGACAAGGAATATACACTACATGACCAAAAGTATGTAGACACCTGCTTGTTGAACATCTCATTCGAAAATCATGGGCATTAACAGGAGTTGGTCCCCCCTTTGCTGCTATAACAGCATCCACTCTTCTGGGAAGGCAGTCCACTAGATGTTGGAACATTGCTGCGGGAACTTGCTTCCATTCAGCCACAATAGCATTAGTGAGGTCAGCCACTGATGTTGGCCGATTAGGCCTGGCTCGCCGTCGGCGTTCCAATTCATCCTAAAGGTGTTCGATGGGCTTGAGGTCAGGGTTCTGTGCAGGCCAGTCAAGTTCTTCCACACCGATCTTGACAAACCATTTCTGTATGGACCTCGCTTTGTGCACGGGGGCATTGTCATGCTGAAACAGGAAAGGGCCTTCCCCAAACTGTTGCCACAAAGTTGGAAGCACAGAATCGTCTAGAATGTAATTGTATGCTGTAGCATTAAGATTTCCATTCACTGGAACTAAGGGGCCTAGCCCGAACCATGAAAAACAGCCCCAGACCATTATTCCTCCTCCACCAAACTTTACAGTAGGCACTATGCATTGGGGCAGGTATCTTTCTCCTGGCGTCCATCAAACCCAGATTCGTCCATTGGACTGCCAGATGGTGAAGCGTGATTCAACACTCCAGAGAACACATTTCCACTGCTCCAGAGTCCAATGGCGGCGAGCTTTACACCACTCCAGCCGACGCTTGGCATTGCACATGGTGATCTTGGGCTTGTGTGCGGCTGCTCGGCCATGGAAACCCATTTCATGAAGCTCCCTACGAACAGTTCTTGTGCTGACGTTGCGTCCAGAGGCAGTTTGGAACTCGGTAGTGAGTGTTGCAACCGAGGACAGATGATATTTACGCGTTACGTGCTTCAGCACTCGGCGGTCCCGTTCTGTGACCTTGTGTGGCCTACCACTTCGCGGCTGAGCCGTTGTTGCTCCTATACGTTTCCACTTCACAATAACAGCACTTACAGTTGACCGGGGCAGCTCTATCAGAGCAGAACTGACTTGTTGGAAAGGTGGCAGCCTATGACGGTGCCACGATGAAAGTCACTGAGCTCTTCAGTAAGGCCATTCTACTGTCAATGTTTGTCTATGGAGATTGCATGGCTGTGTGCACGATTTAATACACCTGTCAGCAACGGGTGTGGCTGAAATAGCCAAATCCACTATTCTTGTATATATAGTGTATTTATCAATAGCTGGAGTTGGGCCATGGGAATATATAGAATGATACAATCATTTTACAATGAAGTTATTTTTGTCCCCCTGTGAGGAGTGGGACAATAATAAAAGGAAACAAATAAAGAATGATACAATATTATGAGCACACAACTCTATTGGCACACCACTTTATTCAACAGTGTGTAACATACACAACAAATAGCTTATTTAATGTAATCTTGAACGCAACATTAACATTTGATTACACAAAAACGAAGGTTCTCACAGTGATTTCAAAGTGTAACAGGTTGACAGTTTTACTTAGTGACAAAAGGAGTGGGGACGGACGAGTGGATTTTGTTAAAAAACACCAATGTTTTGTACATTTCTTTAATTAAAATATATTTGTTCTTAATTGTTTTAATCTAGAGATTAATGGATGGTATGCAATAACACTAAGGTCAATTAAATATGGCTTTAGCTTACAGTTCTATTAAAGGCATTTTCCATCAACAATATATTACGTTATTCACCATCAACCTATATACCAAGCAAAAACAATCAAGCAAAGCAATTACATTAAATTCAGTGATTGTCACGAATTCCGCCGAGACTGCTCCTCCTCCTTGTTCGGGCAGGCTTCGGCGTTCGTCGTCCCCGGAGTACTAGCTGCTACCATTTGATGTTCTCTATGTTTGTTTGGTTTTGTCTGTTTGGTGCACCTGTGTCTTATCACTTATTGATTATGTCACCTATAAGTTTCCTTTGGTTTTGTTTGTAGTTGTGTGTTGTTGTCCGCCTGTCCGTTGGGGTTTTGGATTTTGCTCTGGTGTATTTAAGTGTATTGACGCACTGTTTGCGCATCGCTTATATTTCGTGTTTTACGCACTGTTTGCGTATCGCTCGCCTCCGTTGCTTGAGGCCCGTTCTTTTGTATTGTCATATTTCTGACTAGTAAAGTCTGTTGGACTAAGCTTCTGTGTCCTGCGCCTGACTCCAACACCACATCCACTTCAAACACTGACAGAACAACACACCATCAATGGAGTCAGCAGGAGCAGCGGCGGCGACCGAGTCGCTGGAGGATCGGGTCAGCTGCCAGGACGCCAGGATACAGCAACTCGGCTCTGCCATGCAGGAGGTCATGAACACCCTGCGCCGATGGGAAAGGGGAGGCGTGCCCACACCTCCTCCTACATTACCACCACCATCGGCCAGTCCCACCAGACCGGTTCCGGAATCCAGTGGGATTCGGCTCTCGCTACCGAGGGCGTATGATGGCACAGCAGCCGGGTGTCAGGGGTTCCTCCTTCAAGTGGAACTCTACCTGGCCACCATACACCCGGCGCCCTCGGGATACGAGAGCGTGTCCGCCCTCATCTCCTGTCTCTCCGGCAAGGCGTTGGAGTGGGCCAACGCCGAATGGAGGGGAATAGACGCCACCACCATCAGCTACGCGGAGTTCTCCCGCCGCTTCAGGGCTGTTTTCGATCACCCTCCTGAGGGTAAAGCGGCGAGGGAGCGTCTGTTCCACCTCCGACAGGGGAAGAGGAGCGCACAGGATTTCGCCCTGGATTTCCGGACTCTAGCGGCGGATGCGGGGTGGAATGAGAGGGCCCTCATCGACCACTATAGGTGTAGCCTGCGAGAGGACGTTCGTCGAGAGCTGGCCTGCAGGGACACCAATCTGTCCTTTGACCAGCTAGTGGACATGTCCATCCATCTGGATACCCTGCTGGCCACCCGCGGATGTCCCGAGATGGGGCCGTCCATTCCATTCCCCAGCACCTCCGAGCCGAGCCCAATGGAGCTCGGGGGTGCTGGCGCTAGAGGGAGAAGGAGAGAGAATCCGAGGGGGGGCGTCCCCTCCACCAGCTGTGGCCGTGGAGGACACACTGCGGCTAGGTGCTGGGGAGGGTCTCCAGGGAATCGGGACAACAGGTCGCGCACTGGAGAGTCATTTCAGGTGAGTAGGCTCCCCACTCACCCAGAGCTCTCTGTTGTTCACTTTTGTATACCTGTGGTATTTCCTCAGGTTGCATCTCATTCCCAGCATAAGGCGCTAGTCGATTCAGGCGCAGCTGGGAATTTTATTGATCGGAAATTTTGTTCTAGGTTAGGGATTCCCCTCCTGCCCGTTGATGCACCCTTTCCTGTCCATGCCCTAGATAGCCGCCCGTTGGGGTCTGGGTTGATTAGGGAAGTCACAGCGCCACTAAAGATGAAGACGCAGGGGGGTCATGAGGAGATTATTCAGTTGTACCTAATTGACTCTCCTGCGTATCCCGTGGTGCTGGGGCTTCCTTGGTTAGTCACCCATGACCCCACCATTTCGTGGCAACAGAGGGCTCTCAAGGAATGGTCTGGCCAGTGTGTTGAGCGATGTCTAGGTGTTTCCATGGGGGCGACCACGGTGGAGAGTCCGAACCAAGTGCCCGCAATGCACATTCCCCCTGAGTATGAGGATTTGGCACTCGTGTTCAGCAAGACGAGGGCGACACGATTGCCACCTCATAGGCAGGGAGATTGTGCGATAAACCTCCAGACAGGTGCGGCACTTCCGCGGAGCCATGTGTATCCTCTGTCTCAAGAGGAGACGGCGGCTATGGAGACATACATAGCTGAGTCCCTGAAACAGGGATACATACGGCCCTCCACTTGCCCTGCGTCCTCGAGTTTCTTTTTTGTGAAGAAGAAAGATGGAGAGTTGCGCCCGTGTATTGATTATCGTAGTCTCAATCAGATCACTGTGAAATACAGTTACCCTCTTCCTCTGATTGCGAGTATGACTGAATCATTACGCGGGGCGCGGTTCTTCACAAAACTGGATCTCAGGAGCGCTTATAACTTGGTGCGCATTAGGGAGGGGGATGAATGGAAGACAGCATTTAGTACCACCTCAGGTCATTATGAGTATCTTGTCATGCCATACGGGTTAATGAATGCTCCTTCAGTCTTCCAATCATTTGTGGACGAGATCTTCCGGGACCTGCATGGGCAGGGAGTGGTAGTGTACATTGACGACATCTTAGTGTACTCTGCTACACGTGCCGAGCATGTAGCCCTGGTACACCGAGTGTTGGGTAGACTGTTGGAGCATGACTTGTATGTCAAGGCAGAGAAATGTCTGTTTTTCCAGGAGTCCATCTCCTTCTTGGGTCATCGGTTGTCCGCGTCAGGGGTGAAGATGGAGATTGACCGTGTGTCAGCCGTGCGTAACTGGCAAACCCCAACCACTGTGAAAGAGGTGCAGCAATTTTTGGGTTTTGCCAATTACTACCAGAGGTTTATCCGGGGTTTTGGACAGGTAGCAGCTCCCATTACTTCCCTGCTGAAGGGGGGC